ATTTAGTCTGCGACAAATCGGATTCAGCATTTCAAGAATCTCAACATTTATTTACACACGTCTCACACTTCTATTTATTTACAGGGAATTCCGATTGTATATTATGGGACAGAGCAGGGATATGATGGGTGTGCCGATCCTCACAGATCACTACCATTACCAAGTGAGTATATTTGGGGTGGGAAATAAAGGTCTACAAGGAATAACATCGTCTTTATTGAATACTGCATCGATAGATACAGATCATCTCCAATATATGCGCCCATAATCCAATTTGCAAGCATAGTATACTCAACCTATGTGACTTATTCTGGCTGTAGAAACGTCTGTAATTTACATATGCACATACGCTACCAATAAAGCAGATACTTCACAGAGATGTGAATGATTGTCGCGATGGATATCATTGTACAATTTTATTATTTCGACAAAACAAGGGGATATTTGATAATTATTTGGAAAAAAATGTCTATAACATATTGTTGGTCATTATTCAAAATTTGAATATACAATTGACTATATTTAAATATTGTGTTACGTCATTATCGTACCTAATCCATTGGCCCAAACCTGCATAACATTATTTTAAATACGACAATAAACAATCATGAAACAATTCCGATGTGAATTTGCGAAGTAAATGTAAACGTATGTGGGAATGCCCAAAAACTAAAATAACAATAATAATAAAAAAAAAACACACTTCAAATGCAGAACTTATCGCCTTTAGCAATTGCTGACAAACGAAAAACAGACACAAGTAATAAATCTCCTTACTTGAGTGCATTGGTTTAGTTTCGTCCGAAGTGCGTTCAGTATAACTATGAGTACGATTTGTAGCGGTGGAAATTAAAAATCCTATGCCATTGCAAACTGTTTTGTTCTATCAGCTGTGATTTAATGATTTGATTGACATTCTTCTTTTTGTTTACAATTAGTTTATTCAAAAGACTATGAGTACCTGAGATAAATTAGGAATCGATTTCCTGATTGCTGAACAAATCGAGAGGTGGCAGGATGATGATTTTTTCG